AAGGCGAATATATCGTGTTTGCGACCTAGTGGTCATTGCAGAATGTGTTTCTGTATGTTCGATTGGATGTGTTTCTGTATTTTCGGGTGGTTGTGTTTCTGTATGTTCGATTGGAGTCTGATTGGTATGAACTTCTCTGAAAATGCTTCTTTCGATAGTTGTTGTTGCCTGACCTGTTGGCTGAGTTGTTTCTGTTGTGTTTTGAGAAGAAGAAACTCAAATTGTTGGACAATTTGTTTGCAATTGTATGAGGAAGTTGCTTTGGTATTATAGGAGGTCGTAAGGGTTTGAGAATGGTGAGACATAAGTGTAGGAACTTTAACTGCAGAGGTAGTCGACGAATTGTTTTGCGACACTTGTTCTTCCTTCCATTATGAAAAATGAACTGTTTTTTTCGGACACTCATAGAAAAATTTGAAATAAACCGTTTTCGTCAACGGAGACCCCATCTAATATTTTATTATTGAAAAGTCTCCGTTGGCAAACCGTTCCATCTCAAATATTGAGAAGATCAACTTACATTGACTTTTAAATACATATTTTCACCATCGGACAAACTTTTGACTGGATGGACTTAACACGAACAATTACACTTGTCAAAATATTTTTATAACAACGATAGTATATATTGTTCGAACAAATAATGGTCTATCGTCAACGCTCATAGAGATAGACCCACTTTTCTAAAGTATATATTTGAGTACTTTAAAAAAATATTATAGAACAATATAACAAATATTTTACAAAACCGACAACACTTTGACCAAGTAGTTTTTTGAGCTGAACAAAAAGTGTCATATAAACATCTGTCAAAAACCGCTTTTTAACTTCACTTAAAATGCCACGTAAGCTACGTAAGAATATACGTAAGAGGAAGGGAGCATTGAAACATCCAATAGTAAAACTGACACCACAACAACAGTTGCAACAACAAATGATGAATGACCCCACTATGTTGCAACAAATGTCAAGCAACCCTATGCTTTTAAACCGAGTTATTGGTGCACAGAGTGGAGGTTTAAGAGCGGCACTTTTAGCGAAAATGGCAGGCTATGGTGGAGCTGCAGACGGAACAGCTTATAACCCTCAAAGTCAAATGAATTTGAGTTCACTCAAAAATCAAATAACAGATGTCAAAAAGTCAAACATAGACATACAGAAACAAATAAATGAAAATGAAAAGAAACTAGAATATGACAGACACACAAAGAAACTCAATGAGTTAAACGTAGAGAAAAAGAAGAAAGAAGAACAACTGAAAGAACTAAGTACAGAGGAATATGCGAAAAAAGTGTCAGAAAAAGCAGCAGAAGTAGCAAAAATGGAACAAGATGTTATAAATTTGAAAAACCATACTACTCAATATAAAGTACTGAAAGATGAAGAGATAAAACAAAAAGCCATGAAGACATATATGGATAGCGATGAGTATAAAAAAAGAAGTTGAAGCAAATGTAAAGGCAGAAAAACTTTTACAGTTGCAAAACCAAACCGTACAGTATGAAAACTTAGCACAAGAAAGTAAAAATAACGACGCAGCCATGCAAAAGGCAATGAAAAGCGCAGAATATATAAAAGCTAATAATGACTGGTTAGATGCCCAAGCCAACGCCAAAGCAGCCCAACTTATAGGGTCAATAAGGACAAAAATACAAGCGGATGAAGACAGTTCAAATGAAGCTTTAATGAATGCTGACTTTAAGAATGCCTTCGAAGCTCTTCATAGTAAGGTGAAACTAGTGAACGACTTCTCATCTGGAAAGAAACTGAAGTCTGAAGGTTTCGACAAAGAGTTAAGAGAAGTAGCACAAAATATGACGAAAATAACAGATGCAGCAACGAGACAGGCAGTTCAAAGTGCCTATGACGCCGTTAGAGCAACTGTTGTGGAAAGTCAAGAAAAAGAGTTACAACAGACCAAAACAGACCTAGTAAATGCTTTCTTAAAAACGAAAAGTCAAGTAGGACATTATGCTGCAGATGGAACATATGTGCCAGCTGGTGGAACTTATATACCACCAAACCCTCCAAGAGAAGCACCTGCACCAGGACTACCTAAAACATTTACATCGTCACATGGACACAGACACAGGCATGCACCAAAACCAACACAACAACCAACAGTTCAAAATCCAGCACCACAACAACAACCAACACAGCAACCAACAGTTCAAAATCCAGCACCACAACAACAACCAACACAACAACCACCTCCACAACCAGCACAGCAACCACAAACAGAGCAAAGACATAAAAGAAGTAGAGAAAAAGGAAACCAAGAATTCTTAAAAATGCTTAAGGAAGATTATGGTTACCCAGATACTCTTGACTTTAGTGACAGATATAAAGAAGCTAATAGAAAGTTCAAGGAAGGAAATACTGACCCGAACCTATTTAGCTTTATGGTTCAGCATCAAATCGGATATAATCTCAAACCTGGAAAATACAAGCTCGCTAAGGGATATGATTTAATAGCATATCATCCAAATGACATGGATGAATTTACTCCGAGATATTTGATGTCAGAGCTAAATGATAATTCAACTCTCTTCATGAAACGCGTAAAAAATAGAGACGGAACGAAAAAAGAAAGGTTTATGAGTCCGGATGACTTAGAGAGGGAACTTGTTAAAAACGGTCTCGGAATATATGAAATGCCAGCAGATGAGGTACAAGAAACTCCACAGGAAGAAGTTCAGATACAACCAGACACGGAAGAAATAGTCCAGCAACAACAGCTAGAAGAGCCTGAAGGAAACGAACAAGTCCCTCCTTTGGAAACTAACTTCACAGAACTAGATGAAGATTTGGAACAGCCGAAAAATCTTGACCCTCAACAAGTGTATGAGGAGAATATGGAATCTTTCCAAGAGTCTAAGCAAAATTCGGCTGACATAGTAGAAGAATATCGAAAAATGTTTACCGACATACAAAAGACTCCAACATCAGATGAAAATATTCAGCATAGAATGGAAGTACTGAAAGATAATGTACGCAAATACAATAATCCTTTTTACTTACGACCATATAACGTTCAATCTTTGGCTGAACTCGGTGAAAATAAAAGGTTAAATTTCAACAAAACATATAGAAATGAAACATTGTTTAAAGTTCATTCAGAACCTAACCAATATGGAAACAAACCTACTTTTGTTTCTGCAGACTATGGAACTACAATGAGATGAGGTCATAAAGCTAATCAGGATAGGTGGTTCATAAACTTACAACCTCAATTCCAAGAAGTTGTAGACGCAATGGAAGTGAATGGTGAACCAGATATAGCTGGTATTTTCAGCGCGGCTTTAATGCCATTGAAAGATATGAAAGATGCAGATATTTTGGACCAGTATGAAATGAACATGGCTGAGGGAAATATAACACCTGACGTTCTAGAACATTTATCTCAAAGAACTACACAGAACCATAGAGATGGTATATTTGGTGAAGAGTTTAGAAAGAGAGTTAGGGAAGAGAAGGAAGAGAACCTATTGTACATGACCTTGCAAACGAATGTTTGCAAAATGTCATAAAAACTTACTTTGCAGACAATGAACCGAGAAGGGATGAATATTTAAGAAAACTCAAATGGACAGTACCAAATGAAATGTTAGTATTGAAAAACATGTTCCATGACAAAATAAAACCAACTACAGAAATAAATGACGCAAGACTGAAACGTTGGGTAAAAGCTTTCCCATTCACAAAAGATATTATTGGTAACATGGAAAGAAAACCAGAATGGCTACAAAAACATATATTTGGAAACGAGCTTATTCCATATGGACAAGCTATATTTGAAGAGCTTGAACCGGAAACTCAGGAAAGAGTCATGCAAACAATAAGCGACGACTCAAATACAAACTATGACAAAATCTTTCTAGGATATTGGTTACCTGAGATGGGCGACCAGAGCCCAAAGGCAAAAAGGACATGGGAAATTTACAACATACTAGGTGAACATGAGGCAAAGATGCAACAACTTGAAGCAGAGGGCAAGTTACCAAAAGCGACACCAAAGAAGAAGAGAAGAGTAGAACAAAGTGAAAGTAGTGAAGAAGTAACTTCATCTAGTGAAAGTAGTGGCAATGAAGGAAAAAGAAGAGTTAAAAACTCAGCCAGGAAGAAAGTAAAGCTTGGTCCGAGTGGGTTCTATTATGACATATAAATCCAACTATTCTATATTTTTACCCATATGAAATGTACGCCGCTCAGAATATTACGCCAACAGTTTTGGATGCCATGAACGGAAATGTTTCCGAATGGTATAACGAATGCGACAATGCCATTAGAAGGTCAGAAATAGTTCCTGGAACTTACGAATATACAACTGCTGTTTCTTATGGAAACGTAGGTGAGTTTGGAGAAGGTTCTTCAACAACAGTAGATATTGCTTGCGACAGGTTTCATATTATTTCTATTGACAACTCATTCTTATACGTGGAACAAGACATTGAAATAAAACCTTCTGCCAAGTTGTCTGACAAGAAAGGTTGCAATGGAATTTTCTATGTCGGATACCAATATGCTCCAGAAGTTTTTATGGGATATAAGATATATTCTAACTCTGACTTAGTTCAAACAGTAACATGGGCAAACTATGAATGGTTCGCTTTGAGAAACTCAGTACAACCACAAGCTAGAGAACAAACAGACCAGTATGCAACTATTGAGAAAATAAGAAGACTTGACCCTAACGTTCCAGGAGTTTATGTTAACCTTTCTGGTTCAGATGGAACTGCTGCCACTAAAGTAAAACTGAAACTTAGAGTTCCTTGTCATCTTTCCTCATCTTCAGGTTTTTAAGATACTTGCCAAACTGGGCATGAAAAATTTCTATCGAACTTACTCCAAGCAAAAATAACTTAGTCATTGCACCAACACAAGACCCATTCACTATTGAAGCCAAAGCAACAGCTCAGGAAACATTCGCTGCCTTTTGCAAAAACAAAGTTGACTTAGACTTTGGTTTCTCAAACTTCAACAATGAAGTAAACTACTATATGAAGGATAATGGTGGTGCAAACGTATGGGACCCAGTTAAGTTCACATGCGAAAAATTTGAATGCAAGAGAATAGAAAGCAGACTTGCAGTCTATATGTTGGACCCAGATATTTCAAATGCTTTAGCTGCCAAATATATTGCAGTTCCACTTATGTTCCCTATACACCAAATATCTGTCAAAGACTTTGCAGGTGAAGTTGGAAACCAAAGTGCTGACCCAGGTGCAAGAACAGATATTGCCTTAACAACTGCAATGAAACATGCAGATACTATGTTTGTACTGTTCAGACGAACTATAAATGACTATTCTTGTTTCTACAACCCTGGTATTAAATATCATATAAACATAGATGGCAAATATTATCCAAGAGAAGAATATTCTACAGTTGAGGATATGAGGTCATACAACTTGACATTAGATGCTATGAACTTTAACAACAACTTCACAACAACCATTAACCCTGAAATGCAAAGTTCTATTATGCCATATGTGAAAGTATGGACTCATACAGGAGGTCAAAAAACTCAATATACAAATGGAGACCGTTCAAACTTTTGGCTTGGCATTCCATTTGCTGACTCAGAAGACTTTATGGGTGGTATTTCAACTGTTGGTACAGTTCAAATACAATATACTGGTGACAGAGACGGTCCAGATGAATTGAGAGCAAAGAAGTTTACAAAACCAATAGCACTTTTCACGGAAGATGCTCTTTTGAAGATTCGTTCGATGAAACCTGCTGGGGCTCCTCAGATTGGCATAACGACAGTTTCCATCGAGCAGATTTTGGCAGCAGGTCAGTAAGTTGTTCTTTGACACTTTTCTCACCATCGTAAATAGTTATGACACCTGTTTTGACATAATACTGTATTATAAACTTACCTTTAGAAATATCTGTAAGTTTTGAAGTTATATTTTTGTCTGCTTCAAGAACTTTCACCATTTCAGTTATACCAACTTTCTTTGCTTTATAAAAATATTTAGGTTCAGCAAAGACTGCTATTCTATAACATTTACCATTGTTTGTATAAAGAACTATTCTGTCAATGAACTTGTATTGTTTGTGAGTATAAACTTTGTTTTGCTTCAATTCAAAGAGATATCCGAATACGTCCATCTTTTTATTCTAAGTAAAATGTCATTTCCGAAAAATAGAAGCGTAAGTGTTTCAAAAGGTTTAATGGCGGTGGCAGATGTGAAGTTAAATTCACCAACTCAAACAAACAGTCAAAGTGTTATTGTCAATGTCAAAGACAGAGATGTTGAAATGGGGAAACCATACGAAGACGAAGATGGTATAACAATTGTTCCTGTAAAAGAACCAACATATCCTGAAGTTAACAGAGACTTAAGTTCTGTTGCAGATATTCGAAACGATTACCAACAACTGAAAGACAAACTTCAAACTCAGGAGAAGATTTGTCAAGCTTTAAGTATAATGTTAAACTTGGTCGAACACAACCCTGTAAAAGTGAACTCATATGTCATTGCACCTCATGAAGTTTTGAAAGAACTCTTGAAACTTTTGACAGAGGCAGACGATATAAACATCAAAGAAATAGAACCCGACATTAGTTGCTGTCGTGTTTCATATAATGTCATTGACAAGATATACGTTATGAAAGAGGTG